TAGAATTATAATAATTAATTATTTTAGAAACATATTTCCTAATATAATAAATCTTGGAAAAACCAGAATCGGTCACAGTTATGTATTTCTGACGAGGAATACAAGTTATAGTAAAATATAATTTATGCTTACAAATTCATTTATTCATAACAAAAGATATAGAAAAAAAAACAAATATAATTAGCCTATTAAATTGTTTTAAATTCATTTAAGTTAGTATATTGGAATTACAGGTGTAGCGTAACTTAATATTTAATGAAACATGTTTAAATTATGCAAAATTCTTACAATATTCACACAGAAAATAACTACAATAATATGTAATCAATTTAAATAAAATATAAAATATGTCGACAATTTGAATTTTGTTTTAATAGAAAAATTGGCCTTTACATCTAAAGATGATTTATACAGCGTCAATAATTTTACAACAGCTATTCTAGACGCTGTAGTGCCTGGGACATCACGAATCCAAACTAATAAGTTTGGATTGCAAGTATAGTAAATCTTAATTTATGTTTACAAATTAATTTCTCCATAAAAAAAGATACGGAAAAAAAAATATAACTAAACTATACAAAAATGTTTTAAATTCAAATAAGTTGGCATATTGGAATTACAGTTTACAAAACAATGTTTAAATTATGCAAACTTCTTGCAATTTTCACATAGAAAATAACTATAATAATATATACTCAATTTAAATATAAAAATGTCGACAATTTGAAACAGAAACATAAACTTGTTTATTCAATATAGATTATATATAATACTTATTGAAAATCACTCTTTTGTTTAATTACCACTGGTTCGAAAAAAAACCTCTGTCCTGGGAAGAACCAGCAAGAAACCCAGCGGGTTTTTTTAAATAGCTTACAATCATGTATGTTACACAATTAACAACACAACAAATTAGAAATAGCTTGGTAGCGATCACCTCATTCCCAGGGGTTATTATCATCCATAAATTCCTTAACTTTATAATAACCCTTTTTATACAAACTTAGTTTAATAAAGTTTTTGAACTTTGAGCAAGTCAAATTTTGTATATTTTCTGGAATTTTTTTGTAAAAGCGTATAATTCGCCCCAAGAATGAATTACTGACTCGGTGGAGTAGAGTAACTGGTACTATTAGCTTGTGTCTGTTCCTAGTATTTACAGAATGAATATCACTTATGTTTGTAAAACTACTTTTATTTTTGTGTACGTACATTACATTTTCATAAATGTATTGAAAGGCCAAAATTAATATATTAATTTTCTTAAATATTTGTCGCAGCGACTCTTTAGGCTTTAAATTGTAAATTGCTCTTATAGCCATCTTCTGTAAAACAAATATAATTTCAGTGTCAGCTGCGTGTCCCCACAGCAAAATACCATACGACATTATGCTATGGAAATAGCTAAAGTAAACTAGTCTAGCTGTTTCAACACTGGTTAGGGGACGTTCAAGTATTACGTAACGCAATTTGGGGGGGAGGGGGGGTCTTATAAAACGTTACCATGCGTTACAGGGGCGGGGGGGGGGGGGGTTTTCCAATAACGCGTTACGTAACGTTTTTTTTTTATTTCAATAAAAACTAGGAAATTAAAATCTTCCAAGTTGGCAACCCCTTTCGTTAACGTTTTACAGGGAATCCCTCGATTGTATGGTACGTCATTTTTTTCTGTCCTCCCAAGATGGCAACCTTGTTTGTCTATGTTTTACGGGGAATCCCTCGACTGTATTGCGACTGTGTTCTCTTTTAATGCACCTGGAATACAAAGTACTTTTACCAGTGGCGGATTTACCAGCAGGCTGAGTAGGCTGGAGCCTAGGGCGGCAGATTTTAAGGGCAGCTAATTTGGGGCTAAAACTTTTTCATTTTTCACTTGGTCGATAAATTTTCCTACAATTTGCATTTGGTTGTGGCGCGGAAACGAGTGACATAACCGTTCGCTAAGTGTGTTTTGATCGAAAAGCCTGCCCTATGTAGTATATATATAATATCTATGGAAGTAGTAGTATATATAATATCTATGGAAATGCTGATGAATTGACTGAACGAGCGAGGCGCGGCCGCCGCGGGAGCCGCAGCAGGATCATACTGTTGAAGGCGTACGCTGCGTGTTGGCATTGAGTTCGAAACACATAGATGTATTTACTTCAAAATCAAAAGAAAAGCTGCCTCGGTTGAATCCTGGTGCGATTTCTAATACGTACTAATATTTCTCTGGCACAATTTTTTGGAAAATTACCTATTGGAAAAACGGTCTGAAGAGGGTTCTTGCCGTAGTATGATAATGCCGCAACATGTCTGGTGTGTGTACAATGGCTAAAATTCAAAGCCAAACACCCTTTGCTTTTTTCGTTCCTTGCTCTGTCCTCTCTTAAAATTTAGTGGCAATTTCACGAACGCACATCGCGGCAGAACTTCCGATATCACCCACACCATCTGGATGATTGGCGGTCCACCACTGTGCGATTTAGAAGATGTTTTCTTCCTCGCACAACTTCCTTGTGGAATCGATTACCATCAGCGATTTTTCCAGACCGATACGAATTAGTGACCTTCAAGAAAAGAGTCTACTCCTTTTTAAAAGGCCTGCAACTGCAATTCTCCTGGTTCCCCTGGTGTTGCAGTTGTTCATGGGCGGTGGTAGTCACTTACCATCAGGTGGGCCACATGTTCGTTTGCCCCCTCAACTATAAAAAAAATGCGACTGCTGAACACAGATTTTTTTTAGATTTGCACAGAAGCTTGTCGCTTCGTCAGTTCTTTGAGGCGAAGTGTAGGGCGATCCCCCACTAGATGGAGTGACGACCTGGTAGGATATGCAGGTAGTCGATGGATGTAGGTGGCTCGGGATCGTGTTTTATGGCATTCTTTGGGGGAGGCCTATGTTCAGCAGTGGACTTATGAAAGGCTGAAATCATGATGATTTGGAAAAACTCATTTTTCAGCACGCTGGAGAGACACTTGCTAAGACCTGGAGGGAAATGAAAATTGACAGCTATGATGTTTCGACGGAATATTGAAAGCCGGAAGATAGCTTGCAGAATCCAGCAGAACCTAATCTGGCATGGTATAGGGCTCACGTTCGTGAATCGCAATATTTTTTACAAGTGATTAAATGCGCGGATGACTCTTGCGCTGTTCCCGCTGCAGGAGTGCATTGAAATTTGTCTTTCCAAATACTTTCCTGCTGCCACCCTGCCCAATCCTTCAAACCCCAAGCAAGCTCGTGGTACCTGGTCAGCTGGACAAAAGATCATGCAAGTTTTCACCACTTCTTGTGAGGTTGTTAGATGATTTGTCGCCTCCTCTAGAAGGATTTAAGCAGATGCCTTACGATTTATTTTGCCTATCAGTACAATCTGACCTCAAGAACAGAATATGTGCAACATGTGGGATCTATTTCAGATCTCACAAGAGTGTGCAAATGCACAGTCGTTACGTGCATGGCAAGACTGCCCAAGACCGTCGTAAAAATAGAGTACAGCCACAGCGACTGCTGCCAGAAGGGCAAATGAGCTTCTCTGCATTGTGCGATGCTGTGAAACATCGTCTGAGTATGCCGATTGGCTTGACGAAGACGAAGTTGATGCAAGTGGTTTAACAATTCCGGAATCCGCTCCGTCTGCTCTCCGGATGCCAGTAATGAAAGAGTCTGAGTGGCTGGCAAAGCCGTGGACAGAGGAATAGTAACTCCAATTAAATTGATCTTTTTTTACATACCTACGTATTTTAATTATGGCTGTTTTTATTTTAAATTTTTAGCTAAGAATACAATTTTATTTTGACTAAAATGTTTTATTTCAGTTAGGTTTCCATTGCATTGCCAAAAGTTAAAATAAATTTGTTATTTTATTTTAATAATTTATTAGTAAAAACAGCTAAAACAGGAGAATGTTAACAGTAGTAGAGCCACGCGGCAGCTTTAGCTGTCGCACGGATGGGCCGGCTCGAACCGGGGTGGTACCACGACCTCACAGAAAACCAGCGTGAAGTAGAGGTTTACCTCTGCGTTTCGCTTGGTGAATGCAGGTGGCCGGAGGCCCTTTTTACTGGAAATGAGGCATTCCATCTTAGTCCTCACGGGTAACAACGCATCTACATTTTGATTTGTAATAGAGGATAGATGTAGATGTCTATGGGCCGTAGCAACCACTTACCATCAGGTGAACTGTGTGCTCGTTTGTCACCCTTATCCTATAAAAAAATGCATGAGAAGACCTTCGTGGATTAAGCCAAAAATGTATCTGAGGAAAGGGCCGTCAGGAAAACAGCGTAATTAAATGTAAAGTTAGCAGTAAAAGTTTATTAGGACGAATTTTAGCCCATTTTAACATATTTAAAACTTAAGCAAATGTTTATTACATTATGTGTGATTATTTATTAAATAACAATATGAATAAATAAAATAAACAATATACGCATCTATTACGATTTTTAAGAGATTTCTTATCTCTTGTTTTATTTATTACCGCAAACGCGATTAAAACAATAACAATGTTATTTTAGCGATTTTCCGGTACTTTGCACAACCTAATTGTGACTTTTAGTTAAAAATTGTCACTTGGGTGTTACGTAACGTTTGGGGAGGGGGAGGGGGGGGTCCAGATAAACGTTACGGCGCGTTACATAGGGGGGCGGGAGGGTCAAAAATCTTCAAAAATTGCGTTACGTAATACTTGAACGCCCCCTTAGACCTCAATAATAATAATAAGGTTAGAAATAACCTCAATAAATTATTTAATGTGCTAGGTGATGGAAGGCACCACATCCTTCTTAATAATCGGTAGCATGTTGGGGACCTTTTAAATAACCTCAATGCGATTACTTTTTCGTCGAATGTCCACCTTCTGCCTTTAAATTTCTTTTTATCATTTTTCAATTGAGCCTGTAGCATCAGCGCAAAAGACGGCGTCAGCCTCTGCATTAGTTTTGCTACAGACTTATTTTTTTCTAAAATGTTGAGGGCATCTCCTTTTCTCATCTTCTGAATTGTTCTTTTTAGTTGACAAATTTTTTTCACTTGTCTTCTACATTTGTTGTATAAATAATTTTCTCTGTCAGTTTTTTTAAAAGTTTGTTTCTGTATTTCTTTACAGACAATCATCTGAAACAAAAGCATTAACAATTAATTACTAATTTGTGCCTTTGAGTGAGTGAGTGAGTGTGGAGGTACCTACTTATTATGGATAATTTTATTAATTAGATATTTTAATTGCTCTTTTTAGATATAATCTAGACCCCATTTTCTAAAAGAAATTACAAGAATTGAGATGATGATTAATCTAGATAAAACTGTTAATTATTACCAACTCTAAAGAAACAATATTGTTTACTTTTATTGTAGGTACCGATTTTTCATTTGGAATGGCTGGTCCAATAATTTTATACGAGTTTATATGAGTAGTATAGTTGTAGCACGAATTGGTCGGCTCGACAGGGGAAGGACCACGCTCTCACAGAATACCGGCGTAAAATAGCAGCTTAACGCTGCTGTGTTTCGTATGGTGAGTGTAGAGAACCGGAGACCCTTTTTACTGGAAAAGAGGCATTCCATCTTAGTCCTCACGGGTGACAACGCATCTGCATCTTGAGTCTTTATTGAGGATAGATGTAGATGTCTATGGGTCACAGTAACCACTTACCATCAGGTGGACTGTGTGCTCGTTTGTCACCCTTATTCCATAAACAGTTTGTCAGCCTATCCTATAAAAAAAGACATTTTTGGGTAGGTATTTGAGGAGCGCTAAAAACTTGTCAAATACCTATTACCTACCCAAAAATGTCTACCAGCTCTCATACAATTTGTTTGTCACCCTATCCTATAAAAAAAAAATTTGCTAAGGCTGAACACTGTTTACAAATTGATTTCACTAACTTATGCTAGTAAAACTAAAATTATTCATGTCGGCTCTAACTAGCTACTCAATTTTGATAAGAAAATCGAAGTAATCGCGCATAGACACCAGTGCTTGCATGTTTTGGAAACAAATAGGACCGGTTGCAAATTTGAGTTGTTAGAGCAGGTTCCTCGTTACAAATACTTAGGACTAGAAGTCGATAACTGGGGTTATCATATTGACACAATTTGTGACAAACTGAGAGCAATGTTAGCTAAATTTGCTATCTTGAAATACAAAGTACCATTTAAAATATTACTAAATCTATATAATGCACTCGCAGAGTCAATAATTTCATATGGGATCACTAGCTATGGTAGGACATTTAAAACTTATTTGGACAAAATATACAGCCTTCAACTTCGGTTTTTAAAAATTATAACTCCTAATAAAATTAAAAATCAATCTGCTCCGATAACGATGTATTGCCCTTATTTAAATATTGTAAAATCTTACCCGTTCATATAAAAATAAAAATGTGGCTATTAATTGCACAATTTACTAACAAAGAACTACAAATAAAAGTAAATCATAAAATAACGACACGGAAAGTAGTTCAATCAAAACTAGAAATACTATTTTGATTATATTTAATACCAACTCTCATTAACGACATACCAAGTAAAACCCAATTAGAAATAACGGATAATATTATATATATAGGATTATATTGTTTTTCTTTTCATTAAATAAATTAAAAAAAATTAAGGTGATAGCTGTCAAAAGGTATTTCTTAGATTTCGTGGATAGGATAGGTACTTACTTTATCATTCTGAATTTCAGTAATCATACTCTCCTTAACTGACGGGTCTGGTTGACACTTGACATTTTGGGCTAGAGCTTGAGCGTGCAAAATATTTTATAGGTATATGTGTTGGATTAGCAGAAGCTTACGTCATATTAGCTATCTGTGGGGCAAATTTCAGCCTAAACCCCATCCATTGATTTGAGCTGTGCGTGTTGATAGGTCAATCAGTCCAGTCAGTAACATTTTCTTTCTAAATATATAATAGATATAAATGTAGAAAAGGTAGGTACTTACTTTGTGGTGCTGTGTATAAGAATTTGTAATGTTCTTAAGAACATTGCAAAAAGATGGACCTGGTTGACACTCGAGATCTTGAGCTGCAGCTTGATTCTGCAAAATAATAAGTCATTTATTTTCCAGACTAAGTGTAGTGCTAGTGCTACATATATAATCTGTTTGGTGGACTATTACAAGATATTATTATTATTATTTTTATAATACTTTGAGGTCTACATTCAAACGGCTAGTTTATATGAAACATTAAAAAGGATATTAAGTGGTTTTAAAACTATAATGAAGAATATAATAGGATTTAAAACTTTTTTAGCATTTTTATAAGGGTTTCTTTTTTCGTCTTGAGGCTAGTTGAGGCACAGAACCCTAAAAATGCTAAGAACGGTATTTTTGGCTAGTACCATAGAAGTGCACCTGCTACTTCAAAATTAGGTACATTGCGAGTAGTAGAAATTGCAACTGTACCACTTCAGTGGAATAATAGCAAAAAGTAGCCAAGGATGATTATTTAATGTTTTATTGGTAGTATACTTACTTTGTGATATTGCATTTCAGTAGTCGTAATATTCTCAACAAGGGAAGGACCTGGTTGAGACTTGAGATCTAGAGATGAACTTGATCCCAGATATTCTTGCAATGCTAGAGTTTGATCCTGAAAAATAACATTATCAATTATTATTAAGACAAAGTTAGGGACAAAAGTAAGAGTGCTACAACAATACCTAACATTTTTATTGAATTTGAATTACATAAATAAAAAAGAATGCCTACATTGAAATATATAAAATATTAGCAATCTGCCTCTGCTTCGCAAGGGCGATTTCTAGATATCGACAAAAGCACCACCTACCGGGTTCAAATGTGAACCTAAACCATCTAGAAACCCATTCAAACACAAAAGAAATTATCACAATAGGTTGAACCGTTTTTGAGTTTTAGCAAGACTAATGGACAGCAATCAATTTGCATTTGGTACATTGCGAGTAGTAGAAATTGCAACTGTACCACTTCAGTGGAATAATAGCAAAAAGTAGCCAAGGATTATTATTTAAATTTTTATTGGTAGTATACTTACTTTGTGATATTGCATTTCAGTAGTCGTAATATTCTCAACAAGGGAAGGACCTGGTTGAGACTTGAGATCTAGAGATGAACTTGATCCCAGATATTCTTGCAATGCTAGAGTTTGATCCTGAAAAATAACATTATCAATTATTATTTAGACAAAGTTAGGGACAAAAGTAAGAGTGCTACAACAATACCTAACATTTTTATTGAATTTGAATTACATAAATAAAAAAGAATGCCTACATTGAAAAATATAAAATATTAGCAATCTGCCTCTGCTTCACAAGGGCGATTTCTAGATATCGACAAAAGCACCACCTACCGGGTTCAAATGTGAACCCTAAACCATCTAGAGACCCATTCAAACACAAAAAAATTATTGAATTGAAATGAAAAAGTATTGAATATTGATATGGGTTAATGCAACTGACATTGATGCCATATTTGTTTTGCAAAAGAGAGCCGTATGGGCGATTTATAACTTAAATTGTAAAGAGTCCCTTAGAGAAAATTTTAAAGAAAACTTTGGCATCGCAATATATTTATTAAAATGTAATGTATGTATATAAAAACAAATAGCAGGATTCTATGTGTAATGTGGGGGCCGCAGTAGTTGTACAACAAAAACACTATTAATGTAGAAGTTAAAGTAACTTGATACCTAATATGTATATGAAAAGTACAAACAAACTTACCGAATAGCATTTTTAGGCCCAGGTTTAGGAAACCGAGACAGTTTAATGCCTGGCACTTGTTTGGAAGATCGCCCACATTTTGCACATTTCCTATAAATGTTGGGTGCCATAGTGAAATAGGTAAGAAGGTGGATATCTAATTAAGTTCACAATTTTACACAAACTATGAAAAGAGTCCGTATCTCACTTGAGTTTATCAACTTGTCACCAACAACACTGCTCTGGTTCGACCGACACTAATGCGGAGGAGCGAAATTCACTCAACTCAACGCAATAATAGAAGTGTAATAAAGTAACAAATTAAAGGAAAAACAAAAACAACATCAATCAACAAATCGTCACAAATCGTTGAAATTTGAACTGAATGAAAACGTGCACGCTTGTTTTTTTAATTTTTAAGTGCTGCCATTTTATAAATTAAATATTCTTCTATAAACATGGACAAGATAGCCGGTATTTTATAGGATGCATTTCGGTGAGTGTGCGCAGGAATTACACGCTTTAATTCCTTCCTCTCCTTTCCGTCATTGGACAACCAGGCGGTCGGCGGGTCTTCACCCCTTAGTTGCCGATATTCTACGCATTATTATTTGCTTCGTCTTTTGTAATGCAAAGCAGTGGAATAATTTGCCAGCGTTTATCTTTCCGTCCGAATACAATCTAGGTGCCTTCAAGGCAAGAGTGAAAAGGCTTTTGTTACGCTAAGACAGTGCGATTTACCATCTAGGGCTACATCACCACTTACCACCAGATGGGATCGTGGTGAAGCACTGGTTTATAATAAGTTAAAAAAAAGATCTGTTGCTGATGCTTTAATCAAGTTTATTTACTGATCAAACGTAATCAATATTTTTCTTTATACCAGTTTGTACAACTACCAGTTTGTAAAGCGCAGTCTATAGGACGATTTTTTGGAAAACTCAGATAATTCCCAAATTAACAAAATCGAAAGAAAATCCAGAATAACAAATTAAAAAAAAAAGCAACATAGTATTTTAAAATCAATAGATAGATACAAAATCAATTGGTGAATACTCTCATTTTAGAGGTTTTCAAATAACTTGGCAATTTTGTGGTAGAAATCTGGTAAAACAAATGACCAAATAAATAATTTTGTTACCGCGCCATCTACGCGGTTTACTAAGTACTACATCGATCTGCGAAGCCGACGTAGTTCTTAGCGAATTTAGTCGATGACGCTACTGTTTATTAATGCCGCATAGGTCCCATACATTAGTTGACAAGGCCTGTTCACATCACGAACACAAAGAGAATGTGTATAGCTTGTCTCGCCTCCTACCCTCCTCTTCCTTTTTTAACTCCACAGATTATTACAACGCATATTACGTCGCAATGTTGCCACTAGGTGTGACCGGCGCTCCGATCGCAGCAGATCATTGTGCCTCGGTATAAATTTTGTGAGTTGCGGTTTATTACTGAACACATTCAAACATACTTATTCGTGAGGCAGCTAAGTGTGCAACCTCACTCCCCACCCGCTATCGCGTCCGCAGGACGAGGAACTCTCTCTCGAACCCGCCTAATAAACTGTCAAACGACTTGAACTGCCTCCTGGTGGCTCAGTTAAATTCATAATTAATTTTTCATAATTAAATTTTTCACAATTAAATTGCCTTCGTAGGCACTCTCTCAGCGGCTTGTAGCCGCCTGCGCCCTCTTTTCCCAAAAGAGGGTCGCTTCCGATACGGCATATGAAGCTTTAAACAGCTGGTTGCCAGTCCCCAAAGGCGGTTTTTAGGGGGTATCACTTAGGCTCCCCGGTAGGCAGTGAGTCCCCCATGACCACGATAGATAGCCTATCGTGGTATGCGTAATGCATTTTCCGCCTCCCTACGTAAAGGGTAGCCCATTTCCAATTTGCTTCGGGCGCAAATAAAAAAAAAGGCTGTGAGTTGTTCATTTCGGAAGCGGCACTCGAAGAGAAGAAACAGCAAGAGAAATCAAGAAGAATCAAGAGTCCATAGGAATTAAGAAGACTCCCCTCTATATATAGTGTAGTTTATAGTGCCGCATTGTAAATAGTTTGAATACAGTATAGTTCGACAGTACCATCTTTTCTTTAAGCAGTCCCCTAGCGTAGTCAAGTACCTAATACAGTCTACTTGCAAGTAAATTCATACAGTCCACGTTCGATCCCTTATACATATGAAAAATAAATTACCACTAAACTTATTCCTCACCACTACTGTTATCAGAGTTATCAACATCAGCATTTGCATCATCGTCGGTGGTGCTGAGAGTAGAATAAAACTATTGGTTAAATTCTTTCGAAAATGGGCCAGTTTTTGCAAATCATTTAGTTTGGCATTGTTTATTGGGATAGGCTTTTTGTAGAGAGAACTTAATGTCATGTCTTTGAGCATTTTTTTCTTATTTTTGATTATGCAAGTCCGCTAAGGACCAGAATAATGATCTCTCACAAGCAATAATGCAGATTGTTTGGTTATTTTGTACATTCTCAAATTTTTAGCTGTATAGCTGGTTTTGAGGATTTTAAAAAATATGGCTCTGTTGCTTTCTTCATGTTTAACAACATATTTTGATCAACCTTAGTTAGGGGAGAGTGGGGAAATTGAGAACGGCGGGTAATTGGGAACAGCTAGATAGGTAATACTTCTCCCCGCTCTACACAATTCCACACCTGTTTAACAGACGTATCAAGCGCCCCTCAGTAAGTACGCCATAGTGAGAGTGAATAGACGCATGCGCGCTGTCACGGTAAGTCGAATTTTTTTTTTGCATTTCTGTTATATTTTTCGTCGCGTGTTGTAATAAATGTAATTATCATATTTTTAAGTTTAAAGTCACCATATTTCGGTACTATTATGTACGTACTATCTGGTTTCAAACCCAACGTGATTTGAAGTTTACAAAAAATATTGTTGAGGGTGGCGGCCATTTTGATTTATATTGACTACTTCGGGCAATTGGGAACGGTGTCAGGCGGGTAATTGAGAACGTTCCCAATTACCCCTTTCGTCTTTATTTATTCCTAGTGCTTCTAGTTGATTGTGTAAGAATGTTTTTAACGTTATAAATTGTTTTAGATGCCTCGAAATTACATACGAAAGACTGAACCAAAATACCAAATTGAAGATCTTCGCCATGCAATCGAAGATGTCAAAAGTAAAAAGCTCACACTGGGCCAAGCTGCTACCAAATACTCAGTACCAAAAACAACATTATTTAAACAAGTAAAGCAAAACGAATTTAAGATGCCAAAAAAAGGTCGATATACTGTATTTAATAAAGAACAAGAAGACCAGCTAGAAAAATACATACTCAATTGCTGCAAGTCTTTTTATGGTATAACACCAAGTTCATTACGTAGAATTGCCTTTCGATTTGCTGAAGCTAACAAACTGAAACACAATTTCAACACAGAAACCCAGCTGGCTGGCAAAGACTGGTACTATGGCTTTATGTCTCGACATACTTCCATCAGTTTACGGATTCCAGAAGCTACTTCAATTAATAGAATTTCAGCTTTTAACGCCATTGAAGTAAATCTGTTTTTTGATCAATTAAAAACGATACAAACAAAATACAATATACCTGGTCATCGTATTTTTAATATTGATGAAACCGGCTTTAGCACAGTACAAAAGAATTATAAGATTTTGGCTCCAAAAGGTTTAAAGCAGATAGCAAAAGCTACAAGCGGAGAACGCGGTGTTACAACAACAGTAGTTTGTGCTGTCAGCGCTAGTGGCATATATGTACCACCCATGTTTATTTTTAAAAGAAAGAGAATGAGCGAACTGTTACTTAAAGGCTGTAACAGTGACATGATTGCCACTGTTTCTGATTCCGGTTGGATAAATGAGTCCATATTTCTTGACTACTTGCGACACTTCATTTCTTTCGTGAAACCTACCAAAGAAGAACCAGTATTAATAATACTTGACAATCACGAAAGTCATATCAGCCTGGGAGCATACGAACTTTTCCGAGAATACAACCTGCAAGTTCTTTCCTTGCCACCCCATGTATCTCACAAAATGCAGCCACTGGATCTTACAATCTTCAGTTCACTGAAGATGGCGTACAATAAGGAATGTGAGCTATACATGGTTAACAATCCTGGCAAACGAATAAGCCAGTATGAGGTTGGAGAACTTTTTACAAAAGCGTACAACAAAACAGCTAACATATGCAAGGCTCTCAGTGGATTTAGAGCCGCTGGAATTCATCCTATTGATCCTGACAAATTTAAAGACAGCTTTGAAAATAAGATATTTGACCAATCTCACACCAGTCAGACTCAAGAGTGCGATGTTCATGAAACTGAAGCTGAGCAAAGTTTGAATGAGTCCGTTAACACTGTCAGCCAGAGTCAAACACCAACACATGATTCCACTTCTATTCCTGAAAATGACAACGATTTGAGCGTAACCATTAATATTCCTCCTCCTTCCACACCTGTGCCCCTTGCCGAAATTATTAATGTGCCTGTTATTCCTACAACAACAACCACTTCTAAGGGACAGAATAAGAAGCATTCTCAGATTTTATCCAGCACACCAATAAAAATTCAATTAGAGGAAAAACTGAAAAGACAATGTGAGCGAAAAGCTAAAAAAGAAAAAGTTCCAATTAAAAAACCAGAAAAAAACATTAAAATCATACAAAAGAAGCCACAAGTCAGGGGTAAGGGAATCAGAAATTTGAAGAAAGCTTTACAAGGAAATGAAAACGAAGAGGAGTTTTACTGTATAATATGCAACGAAAAGTATGAATCCCCACCGATAGAAGATTGGATCATGTGCGCCATTTGTAAACTTTGGGCTCATGAAAAATGTACTGCCGGAGAGACTAGTAAAGGTTACGTGTGTGATATGTGCCACACAAATAAGTTGTTTTAGTTTATTATAAAGATTGAATTATGTCGTTCTTAATTACCCCATACCATTCCCATTTCCCCCGCAGGTTGATCTCAATTACCCCATAGGGTATCGGGTAAATAGAAACGGCAATGTTTTTTGTTTTTATTTATATTTCTAATAGAACGTTTATTTTTAAGATTTTTTTGACACTAGTAGGTAGATAGAGAAACAAAATTTATATTGCAATAAAAGTTGATTATGTCTGTGACTTTTTTCTATTATTTTTGGGCGTTGGAAGTTAAGTGTTCCCAATTCCCCCACTTTCCCCTACATTAAATGGTTTTGGAGACTGTCTACATCCACTCATAATGGAATCCCATTCACTTGTGTTTCAGCCCGTTCCCTTCTCTTCCTCTTTTCTATAATAGCAGTCTTGGTCATTTGGCAAAAAATAATGTCCTCTAATAGGAAAGATGTAGGTAATGCTATCAAACATATGAAGGCAGTGAACTAACATGTATAGGAAGTGAACCATGACATAATTTTTATTTTGTCCAGCGCATCCATCTGAAAAAAGCACTTATTTTTGCTTTACATCTTTATGTGTTAAATATTGAAATAAAAAAGAAGTCACATCATTTTGCACCACCATTAATGCCGCCAAAAACTTAAAGTCAGTTTTGTTTTTTTTTTTCATAAGCTACTCATGTCACTGACATAACTGCTTTTTGCCGAAACCGCGTTGACAAAGGTTGTTTATGAAGAATCAGTATGTACAACGAATAAAAGCAAATATCTCATGACTAAACTTGATTTTGAATAAATATAAAATATGATCAGAAAGCTAACAAATTCCTCTACAAGACGGCGTAACTAACTCATATCATGAAATATTTGACAAAGGTGGTTTTTGATATAAAGTCTTCAATTATTTATAGGTATATTAAAATCTCATAGCTAAAATATTAAATTATACGTAAGACGTGTATAGAAGAGTTAAATAAATTGAAGTTTTGTCGGAATATTATAAAATTGGTTAGGTATACTCATAGAAACGTCGGATTACGTTTGTGAGCACGCTGCCTTGTACGTACGTGGCCACTTTTACATGTGTGTCTTGTGTTGTATTGTGAATATAGCATGAGGGTTGTGTATTCGGTTGTTGAATTACGGTGAAAAAGAAATTATGCGCATTGTATTTGTATTATTGCAAAACTTAGAGTGATTCGCCTAAATAAGAAGAGTAAGAAAAAATATTAAAAATTGTAGTTTAAAAATAAAAA